GGCATTCATAACAACAGATGCATCTTCAGTCCTGGGGCTGTATGGAGCTCATACACCAAAAGTTTGCCTGGACTAAAGTTTATCTGCCAATTTAGCACATAGTAGTGCATCCCAGACAAACCTTTAATTGCAACAGTGCTATGGGGGACTTCTCCAGTAACAACTGAGTTGTAGCAATCTTTACATAGACATGGATTCTCTTGACAGAGGCTGGCACATTGATAAGAGGTGTTATAAAATAATTTCTATTTCCTCCCCATCAGCAGTTAACTGGGACAAATTTGAACTCTACCTATGGCTTTAGAAGGGCCTCAGACATAAAACAGTTCAGAATATCCAATATTCATTAAAAGAGAGGGCAAGGCATGAGTTTTGTGCATAGAAGATTGGAAACACAGGTTTTCTGGAGATCAAAGACAAGGCAACCCCTACTCATGGGAAGGTGGTGTCTGTAAATGTATGGCCACAAACATCACTAGAGTGATCATCCTGGGCAAGAGTTCTCTTTTTCAGGAGCCAGGAATTAATGGAGACTCTGAAAAGATAATGCTGACTGTTATGTAACTATGTTGACTGGAAAGAGAAGATCCAGGGATGAAGCAGAAAATAATTCATTGCATAGATCATATGTAGAGTGAAGAATGGATGAAAAGGTTGAGAAGGGATGTTAGCTTACTATGGCTTAGGGGTAACAATGGACTTTTTTTTAATTGATTCAAGACAGTTAGAGAATGCTCATTGTTGAAAATTTGAAAACTTGTCTGAGCCAAAGTGATCATTGTTTATCAATGCAATACATGTTTGGTACCTTGAAATCCTTACATCTGAGTAAACTGTATTTGGGTACTCCAACCAATCCGTGTGGAATGGGTTGGTTGAATTGATGTAGAGTTATAGGAATGGAAGATAAAGGAACATTTTATAATGAGAAGTGGTTAAGAAAGTGGGGGCCAAAGTTGAACAGCTGGGGTTCAAGGTGACCATTCCTGGCGGTATGACCCTGACCAAGTTTTATTTTCTTATTGGTAAAATGTGCATGAAAACTGTATTTACCTCTCTGGTTATTAAAGGGCTTCAGTGACATGACACATGGGAAGCCAGTGCCCTTTCAGTATTATAGTCACATTAATAATGTTGTTCCTGGAGTCCTCCTGAATTCCATCATGATCACATACAATGAGAAGAGGCTAGCTCCAGTAGAAAACACACGTGCGCACATACTAGGATTTCAGCATGATAAAGTTTTACAGGCTCAGAGATAATAAATTTGGATTGCACTGTTGTTGTTAGGTGCTGTTGAGTTGGTTCCTACTCATTGCAACCCTATGTGCAACAGAACAAAACACTGCCCAGTCCTGTGCCAGCCTCCCACTTTTTACCATGTTTAAGCCCACTGTTACAGCCACTATGTCAATCTATCTCATTAAGGGTATTCCTCTTTTTCACTGACCTTCTGGTTTACCAAGCATGGTGTGCTTTTCCAGGCATCAGTCCCTCCTGATAATAACATGTCCAAAGTACATGAGATGAAGTCTCATCATTCTCACTTCTAAGGAGCATTCCAGCTGTACTTCTGCCAAGACAGACTTGTTCATTCTTCTTGTAGTCCATGCTATATTCAATATCCTTCACCAACACCATAATTCAAATGCATTAATTCCTCTTTGTCTTCTCTATTCATTGTCCAGCTTTTGCATGCATATAAGGTGATTGAAAATACTATGGCCTGTGTCAGGTGCAATTTAGTCCTCCAAAGTGACTTTTTGCTCTTTGACACTTTAAAAAAAGGTCTTTTGCAGCAAACTTAGTTACCTTAATGGTGGTAAGAACTGCAGTTGTGTGTGCTAACAAGATTGTGAAAAATAATGAAAGAATTTTGCTGCAGTGCAAAATGATAGCCCAGACTAAAGGTCCACCTGGGAAGGAACCGAGGGTGTTTTGAAAAGGATTAACATCCCTTAAAAGAATTCATCATTATTTCCATGACAGTTTTTTAATCTCTGGAATATGCCTGGAGCTTAAATTGAATCCCAGTTGGAAACTTCCACAGCTACAAAAGGCATGCAAAATCTTACCAAGAATACTCTCATTGCATGAATTTTGAAAATGAATGCCTGAGTTGGCTAAAAGGCCAAGCATAAATTAATACCAAAAAGGGGAAATGCCATAGAAGTGTGTAAAGTCAACAAAGTATATGATCTACAACTAGAAAAAGGAAAATGAAGCTCAAGACCATATGAGTAATTGGGGAACATGTTAAACATGATACATTGTGTGGAACAGAGAGACATTAAGACTAGGAAATAAGGATTATTCTACCGGGAAAAGAAGAAATAGCAGAATTATGTGGTTTTTAAATGTAGTTTCAATAGATCATAGACCTTAGTGAAAAAACAATATGCTGAACATTTAATCAAGAACTGAGGAGGGAAGAAGGGAGGGAGAAGATGTTAGGAAAATAAATCAAACTGTTATAACACTTAGCTATGTAGATAAGGTTATGATTTTGGAGAACAAATGATCATATAACTGAAACAATCAACAATGGGTAGGATTAAATATAAATATGAAACATGATCAATACTATTAAATATAAATATTATATAAACATAATCAGTACTATTAAAGATTAAATACACATGTGGAATATAATCAATATTATTACCAGTTCACTTGAAATTCTGCAATTGTCAACAAAGTAGTCAGAATGAAGTGTCCCCCAAAAGAAGATTATAAAGCATCCTTATATGAAAAAATCTTTTCAAAAATCAGACTGATGGATATTATTAACATAGCAAAAGAAAGGATAGGTCAGTCAGAATTGGGTTGTTCTTCATACAAAGTGGAAAATCTATAGAGTCACAGGAGCATAGTAGACACAGGGTGAGGATGCCTCAGCCAGGGTCCTTACAGTGTTACAGTCACATTGATAATGTCCTTCCTGTGGTTCACTTTGGGGAGGTGGATGCAGGATTCAGCAGGCTGTCTTAGCTGGATGCCCTTTAAATATTCAGGCCCCTAGCTCAACCAGCAGCTGTCAGATCATAATTGGGCAGCACATGTAGACTGGCATACAGAAGGAGAATGCACAGTTTAAGTCAATATGTTTATTCCAGTGGGGCTGTCACTATAGTTATCTTTTCAATGACTAAACTGCCATTGTGATTTTATACAACTGTCTCATGAGACTACACAATGAAAAATCACCTCTGTGAGATGGGTTTTCTTTGATGTGCTGAACGTGATAATATTTTTGAGCTCATTACACCTGAAAATAAGGCCTTGGAATCTAGTAAATTCAACAAAGTCATAAATACCACTTTGATGAGGGGTGGGGTGGCCTGTGTAGTAGGAATTGTTTTTCCTCAAGTGAGTGCCTCCTGAATTCTTTAAATATGGCAGGCACAGGGTCAGAATTAAAACACACACATGCAGGCACACATGCACATGCTAATTATAAGATAATTAGGAAGGAGCATAGGAGGGTAAGAAGATTTTTTTAGAATTTCTGAGTTTAAGAAACTACAAACACTCAGAATAATTATTTATTACCTGTATTACTGTTATTATCGAACCCAAAACCAAGCCCACTGCTGTCAAGTCAACTGTGACTCACAGCAACCTGATAGCACAGAGTAGAACTGCCCCATAGGGTTTCTTTATGGAAGCAGACTGCCTCATCTATCTTCTGTGGAGTAGCTAATGGGTTCAAATAACCAATTGTTAGCACCTGAGCACTTTAATCACTGTGCCACCTGGGTGCCCCCTTACTGCAACTAGAGCCAAACAAAAATTAATGTCCATTTCTGGGTAATGCATTTTTATCCAAATTAATTAGACATCATGAGAATGAAAACAAGCTGTGTGCTAGAATTACAGGGACACAAATACATCATAAAACACACACACAAATAACATAAGAACTTGAGAAACATTACATGAAAACAATAATCTTAATAGAGATATCATACCTGATTCATGAAAAACACTCGCTAAAAGTTCTGTGCAAAGTTAGGTAACAAAGAGGTGGCTACAGAAAATACATGCAAAAACTTTGAAGATTCTGCAAAGCAAGTGGTATTTAGTAATATAAATCACAGGTGTAACTTTATCACATTTTTAATTAAAGTAAATAGAGGTGGTGTTACTTACAACACTAGTTGCAGTTTTGCCTTCCTTTCTGGGTTCTAATTAAATTTTGACCATTTTATCTTTGAAAACAGCATTTCCTTCCTTCATGTCCTGGGTGGCGGTGGTGGTGTTAAATATTGTTGAGTCAATTCTGACTCACAGCGACCCTATGTTACAGAGTAGAACTGCCCTGAGAGCTTTCTTGGCTGTAATTCTTACAGGAGGAGATGGTCAGGTCTTTCTTCCATAGAACCACTGTGTGGGTTCAAACCACCAACCTTCTAGTTAGCAGCTAAGCACTTAACCATTGCATCACCAGCGCTCCTTATTGTATTTACCTTCATTTCCAAGGAATCAGCAAAGTGTTTTAGTGGTCTTCTAATTAAAATATCTTGTTTTTACAAACGATAACAACTAAGTCACTTAATTCAGAGCTTTATCACCCTGGTAACTAAAATGGAAAGCCTGATGGACAGGGATTGGGGGTATAAGGTTTAGTTCCACCCCTACTACTTTGTGTAATCTTGGACAAGTAATTTACTTGATTTTTCTTAGTCATGTTTCTACATCTAAAATTGAATTATTCAGCTAAGTGATGTCTGTGTTACTTTGACACTAATGTGCAATGATTTATACCAAAAACCCAAACCCAGTGCCATCAAGTTGATTCTGACTCATAGCGACCCCCATTGAGTTTCTGAGGCAGTAAATCTTTATGGAAATAGATTGCCTAGTCTTCCTTCTGTTGAGAGTCTGGTGGGTTTGAACCGGCAACCTAGCAATCAAATGCCCTAGGCACTGCACCACATTAATCTTTATGAATGTGAGAAAATCTCAAAATGTCATTTAGACAGTAAAGTTTATCTCACCAGGATTATATCCGGATCATCATTGTTGGTTTCAACTTCAATCAGTGCCTTACATTCCTGCATAAGGTTTTGATTCTGCTTCCTTTTCATTTCCCAAGAAGAAGCCTATAGTGAGGTATTTAAAAATATATATACATGGATCAGTAGCAATCAGTGGTATACATTATATCAACATCCTTCCTTCCTTCATCAGCCTCTGTCAAATGCAGATTACTGTACGGTATACAGAAAAAGATCAATTTCTGATCTTTTCCCTCAAGATGTGTATGATTTTGATAAGCTCATATAAGGGTTAAATAACAATATGCAACAATGAAAAAGAATGCCACAAAGCAAATTAAGTATGAAATTAATGGTAGAAACAAGGGGCCGTATTTTGCAAAGGATCTGCATGAATACTATCTGTATACTGAAATAAATAATGGCTCATACGGATATACACACTGTTCATAAAACATATGTAGATGTTACTGGAGGGAATAAGATATACATTCATTTAAAAGTATCTCTGATGGCTTCCTCTTATGTAACTTTTAACCCAAAGATATCAAGCATAGCTAGGATTACTTAAGATGGCTGAAGTCATTGTAATTTTTTGACACTGAAAAATAGTTCTCATGATTGAGAAGGCAGAAAATCACTGAAAATTTATAAGCTAGGGAAAGGTCTCCCTTGATTAGAATGATTAGAGGTAGACTTTTAGCTTCTTGAGGGCAGGGACTGTGTCTTATTCCTCTTTCAATCCCTAACACTCAGCCCCAAGTAATTGTTTAATATATGTTTTTTGAGGGAAACACATTGACAAAGGTCACAGAGAAAATTCAAAGGAATTGAAAGTTGCATTTGTAAGAAATAATAAGTAATTTAATTTTGTTAGGAGCTATGTTTTCAGGAAAGGGGTGAAAAAGTTGTTTAGGATAAAGAAAGTGGAATCTTCTAGAAAGGTTGAGTGGGATAATAATAATTATCCAGAAGAACAGTTAATTAATCATCTATGTTAATAGAGATGAACACTAGTGCATGTAAGCTAAAACAGTAGCTAATTACAGCACCATTACTATTAAGCTTTTGGACAGTGTGAAAAGATTTACTCTAAGCTTAAATGCCTTCCTAATTCTCTCTTGCTTAGTTGAATATTAAAATTAATTGCATTTCCTGAACCTCATCTGTCTTAGGGTGGTAATACCAAATATTTTGTTTGCTAGAAAATGTTAGGAATTTTTCACAACAGTTCTGACGTAACTGAAAACTGTTTCAATTGCCGTTTATCAAAAGCAAACCCATCCCACTGCCATTGAGTTGATTTGATCCATAACAATATTATAGGACAGAGTAGAACTGCCCCATAGGGCAGTTACAAGGCTGTAAATCTTTACAGAAGCAGACGGTCACATCTTTTTCCCATGGAGTGGTTTGTGGATTAACAGCCAAATGCCTTAACCATTGCTCCACCAGAGTTCCTTAATTCCAGTGTAAGACACTATTAAATTCATTTTTCCAGTGCTTATAAGACATTTCTTGTGATTTATCAACATCACTTCTCAAGTATAGAAATTTTCTCAAATGAAGTTATCTTACCATTCCAGGAGCTGATAGAGAACTTATCTCTATTTTTGTTCCTTCTACTCTTGATTCAAGACATTCTACACAGGTTTCAACCCTCGTCATTCCAACAACAATAAAAATTCTATTTAGATCATCCCTATTACCCTAAGTCATTAAGTGAATAGATGATTTTTAGAATAGAATTTAGCCTCTCTGTCCACCTCTTATTTTTCTCTTTTGGCTTTAATAATATAACAAACTCCTGATTTCTCCTTTGCCCATTCAGACTGTTTCTTTACAATCACTTGTGCACCGTTATCCTGTGATAGCTGGCCATAAAACCTGAGAACTCCTCAAATTTCTGTCTAGTCCTTTTCTTCCTATTTCTCAACCTCATTCATTCTTAGCTTTACTATCTACCATCTTAATTATCTAGTACTGCTATAAGAGAAATACCAAAAGTGGGTGGCTTTAACAAACAGTAGTTTATTTTGTCACAATTTAGGAGGCTACAGTCTGAATTCAGGATGCTGGCTCTGAGAGGAGGTTCTCTTTATCAGCTCTGGCAGAAGGTCTTTGTCTTTTTGAGCTTGTGCTCTTGAGCAATCTTCATGTGGCTCAGTATCTCTCTTCCCTTACTTCTTGCTTCTTATTTGGTTTTATCTCTTTTATATCTCAGAGATTGACTCAAGAATACCCAACATTAATCACGTCTCATTAATAAAGACAGGCCATTCCCAAATGTGATTACAACCACAGGCACAGAGATTAGGATTTACAACACATATATTTTGGGGGACATAGTTCCTTCCATAACACCACCCTACAGGAAAATACCTCAGTTTGTCACCAGTTTCAGAGTCATATATTCAATCTTTTACTTCACATATCTTCTAGGAAGTCTCAAACTATTTAAGCTGAATTCATGCTTCTCCCCACAAACTCAGTCACCCTCTAGGATTCCCAGTTTTAGTGAACAGAATCACTACTCAATCTAGTGTAAGAGCCAGAAATTCAGTAGTCATTCTTGACATTTTCCTCTGCTTCACCCTCTAAATCGAACAGATTGCCAAGACCTATTACTGTTATCTCTTTAAAACAAACATACTCACATAAAAACATGTCTTTCTGTCTCCACCATCATTCTAGTTCACACTTCAGTTATTCTTGAGAATACCACTATAGTAACCTCCTAACTGCTCAGCCCACTCATTCTGCTCTCTACTAATCTTTCTTCCATACTCAGCCAAAGTGATCTTGTCTAAGGAATCTGATCACACTACTCTGTGCTTGCAATCCTGAAATGGTTTCCCACTGCTTTAGGACAAATACAAAACCTCATATTAAATGCTATAAAATCTACATGGTTCTGGTCACTCTCTAGTCATATCACACCCCTTTTCATCTCACGGCCTTGTCATAGCTGCCTTCTGAAGGTATAGCACTTTGTATTCACCATGTTTCCTTTAGCAAACACTGTTTCCATTTGCTTGAAAATACTTTTATTTTCCTCTTACCAGTTTAGTTAGAATTTAATTGTAAAAGCACAGTGGTCACTCAGGGAAGCCTTTCCCATCCTCTTAGGTAATCAAATCCCTTATTAAAAGTGCTCATGCTATAGCATATACTCTTCATAAAAACTGCCAGAGCAGCAGTTTACATTTGTTTGTGTAATTATGGGATTGTCTGCCTCCCTCTCCAGACCATTAGTTCTATGGAAATAGTTATATAGTTTTACTCACAGGTGAATCCTGTAGTTAGTGTACTTAATTATACATAGAAGATGTTCAATATTCATTAAGTACATATACATAGTAAATGCTACACTAAGTGTATCTCTATGTTATATCTAGAATGTGTTACCCTAACAAGTGGCAACACTCTGAACTTCTCAATCACTTACATGACTTTGGAGCATCCAACATCCCCACAGAATAAACCACTAAACACAAATCTTGAAACTGCACAGTTACTGAGTTTTTCTGGAAATTAGGGTGAAGGAGGTTATGACTATAAAGTGACAAAGTTGTTTTTTATGTTACAAACATGTGTCTGTTACTATATGAGCTTCAGTGTTCAAATATGATATTCAAAGAAACAATTAAAATTCTACAGTAATTGTAGACAGATTCAGGTTAGTTTATATAGACTCAAGGGAAGATTTAGGACTAACATTTCAAAATTATGGGGACCTCGGTTTCAAATAAGAAACCCTGGTGGTGCAATGGGTAAGCACTTGGCTGCTAACTGAAAAGATAATGGTTCAAACCCATTAGCCACTCTGCCGAAGAAAGATGTGGCAGTCTGCTTCCATAAAGATCACAGCCTTGGAAACCCTATAAGGCAGTTATACTCTGTTCTATAAGGTTGCTATGAGTTGTAATTGACTTGATGACAATGGGTGTCTTTGACATTTGGTTCAGATTTCAAATATTTTAAGAGGATCCAACAAATACAATGAGAAAAAGACTGCCTTAGGAGGTAATAAATTCTCCATCACTACATATTTTCAAGAGGCTGGACACCACTTGCCAAAAATATTACAAAAGGAATGAATGAGATTATTTCTGTAATGTGACTATTATGCAAAATAATTTCTTTTCAAAGAACCATGTCTAAAATAGCTTATCTCCCTATGTAAGACACAAAATGCCTTACATAACGTGGAAACTTAATAAGTATTTGCGTATCAAATTAGCTTATTACTTTCAGAACCTATAGCAATTTATTTGAATATTTTTCATGGTAAATCATAGTTTCCCTTAAAAGTGAATTTAATTTCTGGAAATAATAAAAAGAACATTAGGAGTCAAATTTGTGAATAAGGTTGATAGAGTAGGCAATAATTCTTTGGCTCATAAAAGGTATAAGCTGGTAGTTAATGAAATGACATCGGTAATCACTTTGCTTTGTACCTGACACATGGCAAATGTTCACTGAATTGTAGTTATTATTATTATTATGAAAAACTGGATCTGAAAGCTAATTCTCCAGAGTGAATTAAATAATAAAAACATAACAGCAAATATATAGTGATTATTTTAACAGAAATAAACTAATTTGGATACATGGAAATTCTAGGGTATTTTATATATATATATATATAAATATATATATATATATATAAGTCTCAACAATTAGTTGTATATTGATGTTATATCTCACTTTTCCACAACTTTGACTATAGGGATAACCTCCTGTTCATTATTTGGCTAAGAATTTTTCCTATGAAGTATGGAATATAAAATTCATGTATGATTTACCATACATGAATATTTCTCTCTTAAAAACACATTTAAAATACTTTATCCAACCATGCATTTTTCAAGGAGGCCTTCAGATAGTTTGTGCTTTCTGCACATTGCACTGATATTAGCAATCTGACTTTTCTCCAAAAGAAAGAATATCATTTAAAGGAAAAAAGAAAAGAAATTGGGAGTTTATCCAGGAAAAATGGACTGCAAGTTGTATTCTATGATAAGAGTGCTTTAAAAACGTGAAAATGAAGCAAAACTTTTACCAAAAGCTATTTCGAGAACAAGTGAATTGTTATACATTTTGTGAAGGAAAAGAAAAAAAAGTGCACCTGAGGTCTCTCAGCTGGTTTGATATGTTCTGGTGGGGCTCTTGGATATCTGCATGGTTGAGATTTCACTTTCTTCACAGTCTTTTTCATAATTTTAGTCTCTGAAATGAACTCTATATCAGAGTCCTCTTCTGTGTTTCTTTTCCAGCCTCTGTGGCTGACTGAAAGCTTGAAGGATGGAAGGAACTCATGCTTCAAGTCACCACTTGAAGGCCTGATTCTCTGGGTTTTGGTATTTTCCTTAAATAACAAATAACAAGTTGTTATTTTTTGGTGTTCAGCTTATTTGTAATTAATTACTATTTCCCTCACAGCCTTATGACATTAGGTGATATTTCTTATTAATAATCTACTAACAAAAAATTTAAAAATCAGCAGCTTAAAAAATAGGTGTTAGGAGCTCTGGTCATGTAGTGCCTAAGGCATTTGACCGCCAACCAGAAGGCTGGCTGTTCAAACCCACCCGCCACTCCTTGGAAGGAAGATTGGGTGATTTACTTCTGTAGTGATACTGCCTCAGAAACCCAAGGAGGGGTCACTATGAGTTGGAGCCAACTCGATGGCAGTGAGTTTGTGTTTTGTTTCTGGAAATGTATGCCACTGTAACGCCTCATCAAGAATTTGATTTAGGAATAGCTGCAGAAATGGGCTGAGTTAAGAAATCGTCTTATTTTGAGGATGTACAAGACCCCAGATTGAGAACATATTTTGTACCTTGACATCCTCCTTCACAGATATTCACTTCTATTTGTGTACCTAGTTTGTACTGGGCTTATATCTTTCCTATTCTCACATCATATCTTGCTCCCTACCCATTGCTAAAGGAACTCTGGTGGCACAGTGCCTAAGGTATTTGACTGCTAACTAGAAGGCTGTTTGTCAGTTCAAACTCACCAGGCACTCCATGAGAGGAAGATGAGGCATTTTACTTCCACAATGATTCACCATCTGGGAAACCCAAAAGGGGTCACTATGAGTTGGAATCCACTCGATGGCAGTAAGTTTGGTTTGGGTTTTTACCCCTTGCTAGTTGCTACTTTAACTAATGAAGGATATATTTGTTTAGAGAACTAGAATACTTGTGCCTACTGGTCAAAGCTTACATATACATATACACATACACCCACAGGCATTAAATGATACACAAGGTCAGTATCTGTATTTAAAATCCGCAACGTGTTTCTTGTAAGAAAGTAAAAATGACTATTAGAAGTTAGGTCTACTAGACTATTAAAATGGTTACAAAAATGACTATGAGAAGTTTGACTATTAGAGTTTGGGGTACTGAGTGATATGGTAGCCCTAAATGCATTATTATTCACCAGTGAACTAATATACACTGGTTAAGGATTTTTCTTTCTTTTGAATTAAAAGGTGGTAATGAAATTATTTGGCTCCCATTTTTGTTCATGTAAACCACCATTTATTTTAATCTATTTCCCTGGGCAATTACTGACAGATAATTTTTATAGATCTCCACTCCTGAAGGAAAATTTTGATTTCATTCTCAGACTTCAGTAATAATTTTCTATAAAATTGATAGGCCCTACACCTGGTTCTGGTGGCATAGTACCTAAAGCATTTGACTGCTAACCAGAAGACTGGTGGTTCAAACCCACCAGCCACTCCTCAGAAGGAAGACTGGGCAATCTACTTCCGTAGAGATACTGCCTCGGAAACCCAAGGAGGGGTTGCTATGAATTGTAAAATGACTTGAAGGCAGTGAGTTTGGGTTTTTCTATTTTATTTTGTACAACTGGTTCTGCAACTCAGCTCTGTAGTGATCTCAGGTATATCTTAGGTTAAAACAAAAAACCTCACTCCCATCAAGTTGACTGTGACTCATAGTGACCCCTTCTTGGGTTTCTGAGGTGGTATCTCTATGGAAGTAGATTGCCCAGTCTTCCTTCTGAGAAGTGGCTGGTGGGTTTGAATCACCAGGCTTCTGGTTAGCAGTCAAATGTCTTAGGCACTGCAACACTTACATAAATTACTGTAAAAGTGGGGCTTTGAATTAAAAGATGGTACGAGTTTCAATTTATTATTGGGTCCCTAATTCCTTGACATAGTATCAGAAGATATAAACAAAGAAAATATAAACTAAGAAGATATTCTGGAAACAAGGGCTCCAATGTTTAAAATAAATAGTTGAGAAATGCCAAAAATATAAAATATATTATGTACCCACTTCCATCAAGTCGATTCTGACTCATAGTGATCTCCATAGGGTTTCCAGGGCTATAAATATTTATGGAAGCATACTCCCTTATCTTTCTCTCATGGAGCAGCTGATAGGTTAGAACCTGCTGACCTTTTTCTGACCTTAACCATAGTACCACAAAGAGCTACTAAATTATGTGCATATATCAGTAATTGATTTATTTAAACTTTGGCTAAAGCTTGGCTATTTATCTAAAAGCCCACCTATAAGAAATATGAATAATTAAAATTATAAAAAGTTCCCAATATTTTGTATGTATGATTACTATAATAGAAAAGCTCTAAAGGTTCAAAATGTATCTCTGTAAATTTCCAGTTTTAGGTAATAGTGAACATTTGAAGGCTATAATGACACTTAACAATCACGAGAAACAATGTAGATACTACATATAAAACATATTTCCAAGCAAATATACATCCATAGACTGACACACACACACATACCTTCTGGATATGGCTGGGTTGATATACATATATGTGTGTATGTGTATATGTGTGCATATATTATCAATAGATAGCTGCTTTCAAGTTCACTTTAACTCATGGCAACTCTACATACATCAGAAAGAGATGCTGCCTGATCCTGCATCATCCTCATGATTGTCAACATGTTTGAATTCATCATTGCAACTATTGTGCTAAGCCATTTCTCTGGGGGATGGGGGTTTCTGTCTGTCTCCCTATACACACACACAAACATACACACACATGTTTATGTGCATAGCCTTAAAAAAATTGGAAAAACATATTATAATATTTAAAATGATCATTTCTAGGCAGTAAGACAATAGGTGATTTCAATTCTTTTTTATTTCTATTTTATTTTCCAATTTTTCCCTAATATATATGTATTACCCTAGTATGAAAAAAAAAAAAAATGATGGCAGTTAAAGAAAAATCTATTAGTGCTTCACTTTCTGAACCTCATAAACTAAGATGACCTTTAGCCTTGATAAGGCTTATACTTTAATGTGAAACAAGATACAAATTATCCCATTGTATTTTAATTACTAAGAGCTCTGGTAGCATAGTGCCTAAGGCACTTGACTTTTAACCAGAAGGCTGGCAGTTCAAACCCACCAGCCACTCCTCGGAAGGAAGATGGGGCAATCTACTTTTGTAGTGATACTTCTTCAGAAACCCAAGGAGGGCTCGCTATGAGTCGGTCCGACTTGAAAGCACATAACAACAACAACGCAACAACATTGTAATTACTGACCTTAGGTGCTGAAGTTTGGCAAGTGGTGGCGATCCTATTTGGTAGTATAAATTGAGGCTTTTATGGGAGGAAAAAAGAAAAGCAAATGTAAGTAAAAATAACTTCCAGTTGACTGATTACAATTATTCAACATTCTTCATTTCTGACAGAGAGATATTGAAGTAGCTTACTGTCAGCAACAATTGTTTAAGGGGTCCACTTAAGTTTAGGTAGCTGTAATGCTGTTCTGATTATCAGTGATTAGACAGTGGCAAGAGAAAACAGTCCAATTAATTATAGATTTGGGTGAAAATTTACAGAGCTAATTCACATTCCATACAGCAGTTCACATACACTTTGTCTCATGACATTGACCATAATTTACCACAATGCAACAGCTCCCCTCCCACTTCCTCCCAATAATTACCTCTTCCCAGTGTCCATCCCTCCATGCACTCCTGCCCCCTGAGATGTCTCTCTGTGCATAAGCACCCCTTCTTTCTCCCATGATTGTTCTCTCTAAGGGGTGTATCTACCTCAGTTAAATGTTCAACTCATATGCCTGTCTTTTGTTTGGCTGGAAGCCACAGGTGTAGGTTCAATTCCAGACCTGAAGGGCAGTTAGGAGCCATAGTCTCAGTGGTTCCACCACGCTCTATCAGACCAGCAAACCTGGTCCCTCCTTTTTTTTTTTTTTTTTCCTCCAAATGATTTTGAGTTTTATTCCACAATGTTATCCCTCTCTATCCAGGATCTCCTACATAAATCCCCTTCCAAGTGGTTGACAGTCGTAGCTGGGCACCATCTAGTTCTTCTGGTCTCATAGTTGTATAGGCTGCAGATCAAATGGTGTCCCTGTCACTAGGACTGATTGTTTCCATGAATTTTGGTTTTCTTCATTCTTCTTTGCTCTGGACGAGGAGAGACCCATCGTTGCATCTAGATGGCAGCTTGCAAGGTTTTGAAATCCCAGTTGCTACTCGCCAAAGTAGGGGGTGGAACAATGTTTTGTGTAGTATATTATGCCAATTGAGCTTGTTGTCCCCTGTGACTATGGTCCCGAGCCCACAGGTTCAACTACTCGGTCCCTCTGGGTAGCTGGCTGTGACCAAACAGTGACTACAACCTTGCCCCTTGTCAGCTCTACCATACACCTGGGAATTCAAATCATACACATAAACTTATAGGACCATTGCCTGCCAACCCTATATATGTTCTTGGGTACACTCCCTGCTTCGTAGACATGCTGACTAGTTCAGCCTGTCCACCCATCTATCCACCTGTATACCCACCCAAGTTTGCCTTCACTGACAACGCAGTACTGTATGTGCAAAAGGGTTCATCTTTGTTGTCTGTACCTCCCATGTACTTCTCTGTCTTTCTCTTACTCAATGCCACCATATTGATCATAGAGTCAGTGTCTTTTGAAAACACTGCGTCAAACCCTTCCTGCTTCCAGCTTCCAAAGCCCTCTAATCCCCTTTCTAAACACTCTTTGTTCCCCACCTGGAGGTCCCAGGATCTAGGTTCAATTTCAGCCTTTGGCAGCATCTCTGTCTATTTCAGAGCTCCGGGCCAGAGCTTCAGTGGATTCTGAGGGTAGATTGGCCCTCACTGTGTTTTAGGGAGCAGGATAGTAGTTGCTCTCCTTGAACATATGGTATAAGTAATTTTTAAGCTAATATGTTGATATGATTATTTTTAAGCTACAATGATGAAATGTTAAATGAAATAGTGTATGCAGGGCCTTCACTTCCTTGTGGTGATATCCTAGTTTGGTATCCAGTGATTATTATAATATCATAACTTTATTTAATACTCTTAGTCCTCTTTATCTTTAGAATGTATCTCTGTAAGTTACCTCTCTTGAACAGTGGCAAAATGTGTTTAATTTCTCTGCACTTCTTCCACTGCCTGATATTTATTGATAACATTATCTTTCACAGGTTTACCTTAGTATTAAAAAATATGCTTATGGTACAGACAAGAAAAAAAAAAAAACAACTCACTGCCCTTGAGTCGATTTGACTGATAGTGACTGCTCCTTGGGTTTCCAAGGCGGTATCTCTATGGAAGTTGATTGCCCAGTCTTCCTTCCAAAGAGTAACTGGTGGGTTTGAACTGCCAGCCTTCTGGTTAGCAGTCAAATGCCTTAGGCACTATACCACCAGAGCTCCCAACAGTGGTAGGATTTTCACTTTCCATGCAGGAAACCAAGGTTTGATTCCTGGTCAATGCTCCTAATGTGCAGTCACCACCCACCTGCCAGTGCAGGCGTGAGAGTTACTATGAGGCTGACTGAACAGGTTTCAGCAGAGCTTCCAGGTTAAGAAGAACAAGGCAGAAAGGCCTATCTACTTCTGAAAAGCAGCCAATGAAAACTCTATGGATCACGACAGTCTGATCCCTAACTGATGATGGGGATGGTGCATGGGATCACCTTAAGTTCAGAGGCTGCTTGATGACAGCTAACAAAGAAAATTATGCTTAAACTGCTATTACCTGATTCATCGGCTTAAAGAATACCTCTTGATTTCCTATCGCAGATGAAACAAACATAACTACTTTTCACCCTTGTGATCCCTTATTTGTTAGTTTAACTATTTCTACAATTCCAGGGCATTTATATTCAGTTTGGCATCTAATGCTCCTTGTTTTAGTCTTAGTTCTATACCCCAATACAGGCAATACTCACTTCCACTCCCTTGTTGTAGAATTTTCAGGTGTCTCTTGATTGGTTGAAGCCTGATCTCTAGTAGTTTCCTCAAAAAGGGATCATGAGAAGACTATTTCCTGAGCTTTCCTATGTTCAAAACTAGTTATTTGCACCCTTTTTATTTGAAGGCTAGCTTGGCTGAATATAATAAGCCTTGTGCACACTATCTTCCTTTGAGAATACTGTAATTCTTACTTCATTGTCACCTGAAGCTGAGTTTGATGTAGAGAAGTTTGAAGGAAATATGAATTGTTTTCCTCTTATAAGTAACTTGGTTAGTTATCTTTTTTTTTAGTTACAACTAAGTAATTTTACGAGGGTATGTCCTCTTGTTGATCATTCCAGGACAACATCATGTATCATTTCAAAAATATAGCTTCAAGTTATATTATTTTCCTGAAATATCTTTCTGATTTGTATCTTTAAAAATTTGTTTTTGTATTACTTTGGGATGCACACACACAGACACACACACATATATGGTGAGCTCTGGTGGCACAGTGGAAAAGGGACTTGACTGCTAACTGGAAAGTCCATGGTTCAAACCCACAAACCCACCAGCTGCTCCATGGAAGGAAGACTGGGTGATCTACTTTCATCAAGATTTGCAGCCTCAGAAACTCAATGAGGGTCACTTACAAAAGTGAAATATCTTTGGCTATCTTCCATTAATATCATCTTCTTTGTAATTTTATACAAGTCTTACCTAATTTCTATTCCATTTCATAAGCTATTTCTTTTTTTTTTTTTTTTCACTTATGTGTTCTATCTCAGGGTTGAGCAAACTTTTTCAAAATAGGAAATCAAGATTGATTTTCTATTTGATATTGGTATTTTCTATTTGATATTCCTGTTTGATATTGTTGTTGGGTGCTGTCAAGTTGGCTCCAACTCATAGCAACCCTACATTCTATGTATAACAGAATGAAATGTTGCCTGATACTGCACTATCCTCACACTAGTAGGTATGTTTGAGCTCATTGTTGTAGCCCCTGTATCAATCCATCTCATTGAGGATCACCCTGATGTTTGCTGACTCTCTACTTTACCAAGCAGAATGTGCTTCTCTGGGATTTACCCTTCCTGATAACATTTCTCAAGTAAAGTGGACAGTCTCACTATCCTTTCTTCTAAGGGGCTTTCTGGCTATCGTCTCCAAGACAAATTTCTTGTTCTTCTGGTAGATACCATAATTGTGTCAATTTTCCTTGTTCTTCCTTTTTTCATTGTCCAGCTTTCACATGCATATAAGGTAAAAAATACCATGGTGTGGTAATTATGGTTGAATGTCACCTTGGCTGTGCCATGGTTTTGCGTGGCTGGGAAGCTAGATGTAGTTATTTCTCACGACTTCCATGATGTAATCTGCTGTGAGCAGCTAAGTAGTTGAAGGGGAGTTTCCCTTGGGATGTGGCCTGCTTCCAGTATATATATAAAGGTTAGGGAAAGATCTTGAGCTTTTTGGTACATTTTGGATCCCATACTTGGCCAAATCTTCATCTCCAGTTCCTGGACTTGAACCAGTGGCCTGCCATGTTGTCTGTTGATCTCAGGATTACACCATTTTGCCTGCTGAACTTGAGTTTGTCAGCCTCAGCAGCCAACAGGTGAGTGAACGAGGGAGATGCTTCCAGCTCTTGGGACAAGAGCAGAGCTGAAGCCCAAGGTCAAGGAGGGCTTTACCCAGCCCCTAGAGCTGGCACGCTAAATTCAGACTTCCAGTCCCCTAAACTGTAAAGAAAGTAAACTCCTGTTTGTTAAAGCCATACACTTGTGGTATTTCTGTTAGAGCATCACTAGATAACTAAGACACATGGCTTGCGTCAGTGTACTGGTCATCAAGGTGACATCTTATTTTTTTATGATTTTAAAGAGGTCTTTTGTGGCAGATCTGCCCAGTTCAATACATTATTTGATTTTTTGACTGCTTCATCCATGAAGGTTGTTTGTTGATTCATGTACAACAAAATTCTTGACAAATTCAAATTTTTATCTATCACGATGTTCCTTATTTGTTCAATTGTGAGGATTTTTGTTATATTATGTTGAAGTGCAATACAAACTGAAGGCTGTAGTCTTCGATCTCCATGAGTCTTCTTCCAATCTTGATGTTGTTGTTGTTGTGTGTAATTGAGTCAATTCTGACTCATAAAGACTCTATAGTATGGAGTAGAAATGCCCCTTTAGGGTTTCCAAGGCTGTCACCTTTAAGAAGGAAGATTACCACATCTCTGTCCTATGGAGCAGCTGGTGGGTTCAAATCACTAATTTTACAGTTAGCAGTCAAGCATTTAACCACTGTACAACCAGGGCTCCTTATTGCTGCTAGGTAATATTTTATGCTTTTCAGTCACAAACAGTA